TCATTACGCTTTAGACTACCTTGGGATATAATGAATACCTCCCTAAATGTTTGCTTACTCAAATCCTGTTTCTTTTTTACTTTACTGTTTGCTCTAATATGCATTAAGTTAATTTTTATTGCATTTTCTCATTTTTAAAAATTTACTGTATTTAAAACTTATGCTTTTCAATCTCTCATAAGTGGGTGGAGAGAAACCTCAGTTTCAGAGCACCTCTGGTTGCAACCTAAACTCTATCATAGGTGAGATGAAGAGAAACCTCTGTCTCTGAGCACTTCTGGTTTCAACCATACAGTTTATTTCAGTAGTTCAAGATGTATGTACATGAGTGAAAATATTAAGATATGTATGTGTGTTTGATTAGAAATTTAAGGTGAGAGTATTTAGGAGTTCAGAAAGTATGTACATTAGTAAGTGATTAATAATATGTCACTCAACATGTCTAACGTGTGCTTTTTTTTTATTAGTTTAATTCTTTAATGATTGTTTGTTTCCTTTAACAGGAATTCCATAAGAATCGGGTAGCCCCACTTGGTGCCCAGGTCAAGGACATTAACAAACTTGGCCAAGGACTTGTACAGTCAGCGTCATCTGGTGTAAATACTGCTGACCTCGAGCAGGACCTAGAGACATTGAATAACCAGTGGAATAACTTGAAGGAAAGAGTAAGAATATTTTGAAAACAATGAAGATGATAGTCATAAAAGTGTGTTCTTAAACTAAATAGATGTGGTTCTTGTTTATTAAGTCATAAGCACCCACCATTAAACATTTAATTTGAAAAATGTGTTTGAGCCCGTGTATTTTTTTCAGCTGGTTAGATTTACCTTTCTGTTTAGTGACTGTAATAAAAAAACACACACACACACCATGATCAGCTGGCAATTATCTTTTGACATGTATTACCTTTCCTCATTCCATCTGTTAGTCATCCTGATTACTAACACTCACGTCTGTAGCAATTACTAACACTCACGTCTGTAGCATTACTAACACTCACGTCTGTAGTGATTACTAACACTCACGTCTGTAGTGATGACTAACACTCACGTCTGTAGTGATTACTAACACTCACGTCTGTAGCAATTACTAACACTCATGTCTGTAGTGATTACTAACACTCACATCTGTAGCGATGACTAACACCCACGTCTGTAGTCTACAGACGTGAGTGTTAGTAATTGCTACAGACGTGAGTGTTAGTCATCGCTACAGACGTGAGTGTTAGTAATTGCTACAGACGTGAGTGTTAGTAATCACTACAGACGTGATTGTTAGTAATCGAACTCATGCCTGATTTCTTATTTAAAGTATTCACTTCCAATAACTTGCTCAGTACTGGCCTCATACAGGTTCTTACAAATGTTGAAACCTTCAAAACTGTTATAGAAATATCTAGGTTTTGATATTGCTTGTTTTCATAAAGAGGTATAACTGTGCATCCATTTCTGACATTCAGCCATTTAAGGTAACAGAGTTTGGCAGTAGAAATACAGAGAAAGTGTGGATATTACCAGTGATATTTTAACTAGTGTACTGTGGTTTAATCCATGAATCTATTGTTTGCAGCTGAATGAGAAAGAAAGACTTCTTGACTTAACCTTGCTTCAGTCTGGCAAATTTCATGAGGCATTGGAAGGTGTACAGAAGTGGTTAGAAGACACCGAAGAAATGGTTTCCAATCAGAAACCTCCTTCTGCTGATTATAAGGTTGTAAAGGCTCAACTTCAAGAACAAAATGTAAGTGGAGACATCTAGATTATCAGCTGTTAATCCAAGTACATGAAAAACTGATTTACTCTTGAAAATAAATCTTGATTATTCAGAAATTCAGGCTTGAGTATAGTGATTGGTGGTAAGATGAACATAGTGTGATAAATGTCAGATAGAGAAAACATAAAATGTCTTAATTGGGTAAATAATAAATTATTCAAAAACTTATAGTGACATCATCTGTTGAGATAAAATATTTGTAATAATTGTATGATTCAGTATAAATTATTAAAACTTGAGATTGTTTACTCTTCTCAGTTCCTGAGAAAGTTGCTATTGGACCGACAGAACAGTATGTCATCCTTGTCTGAGATGGGAGCAGAGGTCATGCGTAACCTTGAAGACTCAGAACGTGCCCAAATTGAGGATCAACTGGAGGACCTGTCTCAGCGTTTTAACGAACTAACTGCAGGAGCTCGAGAGAGAACAGATATACTAGAACAAACACTCCCTGTTGCACGGGCTTTCCAAGAGAAGATGACACCACTGGTCGAATGGCTGGACCAAACAGAAAGGAAGTTATCAGGGATGGCTACGATACCAACAGATCAGGAAAGAATCAGACGAAGAATTGAGGAACACAGAGTTAGTGACATCTTAGCATAATTACCTTAATTAACATTTAGTGATCTGCCTATGACCCATTATTAGTCACGTAACCAGATTTAACATAATATTGTTGCAATAAAAGTTACAGATTGTCAAGGATATTCAATATAGACTTAGAAAAGTGGCCAGCATGAATTATAATAACAGCTAATCCTATTGTTATGACTGTTTACGTTAGGACAGAGAAAAGTGGGAAAATGTTCTGTACGTAGTTAGGTAATATTTGTTAGACTTGATTAAAATATGTAATTGTTCAGTACACCAAAGTGCATTAGAACATTAAACTTAGTTAATTGATATTGCACAGGTAATGCTTCATACAGAATCTTAGTACTATTGTATGTAGATGATAATTAATCGTACAGACTGTAAATGTTAAACTCTGATATTCCTGAATGTAGGACTTGCATGAAGACATCCTGGACCATAAGGAATCATTCGAAGACCTAACTGAAACAGTACAAACCCTTATGGGTTTGGTGGGTGATGACGAAGCTCAGACTGTAGTCGAAAAGTTTCAGGATGTGACAGACAGATATGCCAAACTCGTGGAAGACAGTGAGAACATTGGCCAACTCTTGGCTGAAGCATACGAAGGTCTAGGAAACTTTGTTGTTACTTTTGAAGACCTTTTGGCATGGATGGATGAGATGGAATCACGCTTGGGACGGTGTAGGGTGCTCAGTGTTTATGTAGATAAATTACAGGAACAAATGTATGAAATTGTGGTAAGTCTGTGTAAGTGTATCTGTGTAAGTAAGTGTATCTGTGCTTTATATGTACGCAAGAACAAGTTCTAAATTGGACTGTAATGACAGGTTAACTAGACTAGAACATCTTTTATGTCCTGTTTGGGTTAATTGCTATAGTGCATAATCTGGGAAAAGAATCCTGTTTGATATGTCAGGTTAATCATGACACAGTGCATGTCTTTTAAAATTGTGGTAAGTCCTGTATCTGTGCTTTATATGTACGCAAGAACAAGTTGTAAATTGGACTGTAATGACAGTTTGACAGGTTAACTAGACTAGAACATCTTTTATGAAAAGACAGTCCTGTTTAGGTTAATTGCTATAGTGCATAATCTGGGAAAAGAATCCTGTTTGATATGTCAGGTTAATCATGACACAGTGCATGTCTTTTAAAAAATACAGTCCTGTTTGCTTTGTTAAGTTAACTATGATATAGTGCATATCTTAGGGTCATATTTAGGTTATGTTTTTAACTGATAAATATAATGACAAAGAGAAATAATCTGTTATTGTTGTTTTTTTTCTTGTCATGTGTCAACTTGTAAGCTTATTATTAGGTATCACTACATGTAAAGATTGTACCAACAGGTGATCTTCAGTTTTATGGTTGGTTGTTGAAAATAATTATTGACTTTCTGATGTACAAATGCTATTCAATAGTTCTATTATGTATACTTATGTTACACACAGGCCAGATAATTATTTAACTTAGATTAATGTTACACACAGGCCAGATAATTATTTAATTTAGATTGATGTTACACACAGGCCAGATAATTATTTAACTTAGATTAATGTTACACACAGGCCACATAATTTTACTTAGACTGATGTTACACACAGGCAAGATAATTGTTTAACTTAGATTGGGGTAACACACAGGCCACACAATAATTTTACTTAGACTGATGTTACACACAGGCAAGATAATTGTTTAACTTAGATTGATGTAACACACAGGCCAGATAATTGTTTAACTTATATTGATGTTCACACAGGTCAGATAATTGTTTAACTTAGATTGATGTAACACACAGGTCAGATAATTGTTTAACTTAGACTGATGTTACACACAGGTCAGATAATTGTTTAACTTAGATTGATGTAACACACAGGCCAGATAATTGTTTAACTTAGATTGATGTTACACACAGGCCAGATAATAGTTTAACTTAGATTGATGTAACACACAGGCCAGATAATAGTTTAACTTAGATTGATGTTACACACAGGTTAGATAATTGTTTAACTTAGATTGATGTAACACACAAGATAATAGACTAGATAATAGTTTAAC